AAACACACCTGGAAAAGTCAGGGAATTTCCATTTCTCTGTTGAGTGGCAACCCTGTATATGTTTGTACTTTATTTCAGTGCTATAAAAATACATAAATGTTATTTTAAATTTTTTGATGATTTGCTTTGTAAAAATCTAAAAAGTTTATATATGCAATTAATACATTTTTTAAAAATTGTAAATTTCATCATTTATTGGAAACTTGTATGGGAGAAGGTAAGTTCTCCCCCCCACTACCTCAGCAAGTCCTAGACATGCGCTGGTTTCACCGACCACCACCCACAGAACAATGGGCAAGAGTAGATATTTTTTAATTCATATATTATTTGTCTCTAGGATCATAATATTCAATTTCTAGAGTTTTTAGTTAAAAAATTATAAAAATAATATTGCACACATCAAAGGGTTAAACATCTCCAAAGCCTGTAATTTTACAGTCACTTTAGTAAATGTTGTGTTTAATACATCATTAATTGAAAAATTGTTAATACATTCTTAGTTTTTAAGAATATGAATCACGTAATGCTACATCAGTTGGGAATATTCAAATGTTAGAATTGAATTCATTTCTTAAAACATATCTTGTAAAAAGTATTTTATAAGATAGCACACCGTCTCAATGCAGGCTTGATTCCAGCAGGACTCTGCAGCAATATTTTCCTAAATAATATATAAGTAAAATATAAATAGTGACTCAAAACTAGTTTCATTTCATTCTGAAAGCCTTTAGGGCTGTCTCTTTTAATAGGTGAAATTATTGTAAATTGCAGTGATTTTAAAATGCTCTCTCAATTATTTATAGTTATGAAATTTTAAATATAATATAAACACTTAAATAAATGCACTAAGAAAACACTTCTTTTAAAGTTTGTAATGTGAATTGTTTATGAAGTATTCTAAGTAGCAGATCAATTTGAGAGGGAAACTAACTTAAAAAAAAAAAAAAAAAAAAAAAATTTTGGAATTTAGAAAAGCCAGGACATCGGTGATAATGGTCAATGATAAAACTACCTTAAAGAATTCACTTGTATTATTACATTAATTTATATCTAGGTTTTTTGTTGTATTTTGGAAGACATGGTGTTTCAGTTGTAGTTATGATAGTCAATTTCCGTTAACTAAAATGCATAGTGTTATTAAAGTAGAAAGCATTTATTTTACTGCTATTTATATATTAGGAGGCCAGTTTTTGTATTTGTTATTGTTGAATTCAAGTACTTTAGTTTATGTCAAAATTGTATGTTAACTTTTTTTTTTTTTTTTTTTTTCCAGCTGTATAACAGTTATAATTAGGAAAAAGATTTTAAATGAAAATCTCAATAATATTTGGTCTACATATAAAATACACTGAAAGCTCAGAAATTCAGTTTATAACTGCAGTCTTACCTTTTCATAAACCACCTAAATTTTATTTTAAAATGCAACATTTAAATACTTGTCATTTACCAAAAATGATTGGGCTGTGTATCCTACATTCTTTTAGAATTAATTCTTTATTTTTTCATCAGCTTCCTTTAACATAAAAAGTTTCTTATTATCAGCCTTAAATAAATGAAACCTTGCTTGTATGTCTTATTTATCCAAATTTTCTCATAGTTTTAATTATGTCATGGATAGTAAACTTATTTCGTTGTATTTTTATTACAGAAACAACTTGTGAAAACTTTGTTTTGTGGTGTTGTATCAAATAATGTTGTGTCTTTGGTGAGTATTTTGCTTCTTTGGATCCTTAATGATGTAATAATTATGTAATTAATGGTAACAATTCAAAATTTAAGTGTGTTAATTAACACACTTATTTTTAATCCAGTTATGAGGTTGGTAAATGGAGAGGGAAAATAATTGTAGTAGAAATGTATGTATTATGTATGTATTTATTATTTAATCAAAATGCATGTATTATTTAATCATAAGGATTTAGTGTAGCCATTTTTAATTTCTGAATTATCATGTATAACGAACTAAGAAGAGAGACTGAATCTTTAAATGTGAATTAATTTCAAAGTAACTGTCACATTTTAGAAATACATAAAAGTGAGTGGTTTTTTTATTATTATTATTATTATTATATTATTATTTTATTTTACCAAAGGGGCTTTGTCCCTGAAGGACAATTGTTTTTGTTTTGCGATTTTGCATTGAATCACTATAAATTTCACTTTTCAAACTGTTGCCACCAAATGTTGAGTCCTGCATTATATTTGAAGAAATTAAATAATAAAAAATCTGCATAAATGTAGGTATATTTCTCGCATTGTGATAAAACAACAGTACATAGAGCCATCGAATTTTGAATGACGTAATCCTTCTACGAATATGGGCGTGTGGAAGATCAAATTTAGAATTTGTTTTGATCAATTTCATATTTGACGAATTTTTGAGTAACAAACTCAACAATTTAAAAGTGAGCAATGGCAACACTCTACAGGGGAAAAAAAAAAACTTTTTATCTCCAGTGCGCGGAACTGTGTATCGGAAATTCTAAAGATATGCTCCTTTTAAAATTATTTTGCAATATTGCTAGTGAACTGAATTTTATGGTTTAAATACAAAGAATGTTATATTTAATAAATAAAGGTAACACACAAAACATTAAAAAAAGTCCCATTAGACGTAATTTAAAATCTGAAACCTTTCAGATTTTTTTTTAAAGGTTTCTTTGTAAAAGTAAAATGCAAATTTCTGCAATATCTAGCAGATTTAACTTCCGGCTAGACAGTTAATTGAATCAGAGCACGTTTTAACATGTAATTGTAACAGTGCCTTGTTGCAGAGAGGTTTCTTCCTAAATGTCTATTTATCAGAATTTTTCTTTGAATTATACTAAATGATTTTTCTGCTGTCTTTTCTACTTTAAGAATACTTATTGCTTAGTTAACTTTGTTTTTATTATAATTCATTGTATTCATGCATTTCATTTATTACTGTTTCTTATTTATTGTTGTTGTGAACTGGAGAAGAAACAATTGATATCAAAGGGTTGAACTTTTATAAGATATGCATAATTTCATTAAATTTATTTATCACTAAGGTACAGTTTGGCATATTGTATTCCGTTGCCTTCATCAGTTAATTTCTTTTCGATTTTCTGTATTATGTAATGTCTTTTTTGCATTTTTCGATAAATATAAAATACTATAGAAAACAAGTAAAAGGAAACTTTATTTAAAGGGCTGGCTGATATATTCTGTCTGGTTAATCTTCTGTGTTGTTTGTTTTGAGACTTGTGGCTAGCAGCAAATCTCACAGATAATGTAATTTTCAGGATGTAGAGAATAACAGATTTCAAATTGTGCGCAAGATAGAACTGCACAGTTTATATGATTTAATTTTAAAATAATATCTGATGAAGCAAGCATTATCCATTTTATATCATATAAAAGACATAATTCTCAATGTCCTGTGATTAAGTAATAATTTTGCTTTTAAATACTGGCATTCTTAAACATAAATGTGTATGATACGCTATGTAGTTAAATGATGAATTATTTGTTATTGAATTTCATAATGTGTGTGTTATAACGATTTTTGCCACATAACATATATTATACTCATGATACATTTTCTCTCATTTAATTTGATTGATTCATTTTTAATTAATCTTATTTTTATTGCATGATTTTATGTTTAATTAAAAAAGTGCAGTAGTAATTTTGGATAAAAAAGAATTTATCATACATGATTAGCAGGACTGAATTTGCATTGGCATCATTTATGTAATTTACAAATTATATAGATTTAAGTAACATAAAAGCAATAAATTTTAAATATTAAAAAAATATACAGTTTAAATGTATTTAGAGTTTCAAGTCTTTTAAAATATGTTTTTTAGGACTGTCCACATATAAGCCGTACTTTAGAAGAGTTTTATACTTTACGATGCCAAGTGGCTGACATGAGAAATTTATTTGTAAGTCTATTTTTTTTTATTATGATTATTTTATTAAAGCTTTGTGTACATTTTGAAATATCTCATCATTTACTTATTTTCTTTGTTTAAGGATTCTATTGATGAAATTACTGTTAAAGATACACTTGAAGGTGATAATATGTATACATGTTCACAGTGTGGTAAAAAAGTGCGTGCTGAAAAAAGGTAAAATTCTGTTATTTATTAGAATTTAGAAATAGTGATCATTTTCAAACAAATATTTATTTATTGAGAGAAAGTTTATTTTTATCAATGAAAAATTATTAGATTAAAAAAAAATGTTGTAATGAACCTAAAATCTATTCAGAATATTGCCTGTATAATAAAACTAGTTTGTATCTAAAGATTTATTATAAGTATTCTATAGTATAAAGACACTTTTGTAATCTATTCCACTTTTATTCAATTGTGGTTTTTGATAATTTGATAAATCAAAGGTTTGTCTTAGGCATTTGTTATAATTTCATTATATTTTCAGAATTAAGTACTGACATTCTTGGCACTGCTTGATATTTGCTAAGAATGGGTGTCAAATTATTATGTAGCATAACATTAAATGGAGAGGGGCTAAGCAGGATAAAATATTGTTGCCACACTCTTTGGGCACTAGAATTAAGGGATTTATTGTCCAGGAAAATACAGAAGGTTTTGAAACTTCCAAAAGTAAAAAGTGCCCTTTTGATTTTGTGTACAGATAAATGGGAAAATGCATATGAATGACTGCAGGCATCTTTGAGAAAGGTATCAGCTGTGGAGTGCAATACACCTCATGTCATACTTTGCACAACATTCACCTGCAGCTGCTGAGGCAACTGATCCCACTTCTGTGTACAGATGAGGGTGTTTTTCTTCATCAGAAAGTATTTTCGTGCAGCAAATTTCCTTTCTAGACCATCCTACACATTTTCAATTGCGTTTATTTCTGGAGAACGCGCTGGCCATACAAGATGTTGAATCGCTGTCTAGACAATCCTGAACAGAGAATATTCATTGATATAGTGTGTTGTCATGCATGAAAAGAAATTTGTCACTGGAAAAGTGAACATGGAACACTATGGAAAAGTGAACATGAGGCAGCTGAATTTCATCAATGTACCATTGTTGGGTCATAGCCCCAATTGCAATCACACGTGGGGATGTGCAGTGATTGATCATGATACTGTGTCTTGGATATTGGTCCTTTTAATGGACATTTTCTGGATGATAAAGAGACCACTCTCAAGCCAGATAAGTTGGTGTCTACAATCTGACAACAGATCGAACCTTTTTTCATACTTACAGAATAGTACATAATCTTTCAATCCAATTGTGATGCTTATTATACCAGAGCAAACGGCAGAACAGTGCAAACAAACACAGTAGGTCTGTGAGCATACTGTCTTCTTTCTTCCATACATCTGACTGTAGTTTTTCAGTAGATCCGCTGTCCTATGGCAACAAGAAATTCGTTCTCCACTTACTGAGCTGTGGTTCACCAGTTTCTTTTGCAGATAAGACAATGTGTTTGTCTCTTGTAAGTGCTGTACCTCTAACAAGACCTTCCTTATGCCACTGGCTATATATTTCAGTTGATTTAAATGCTTTTCACAGATACAAAACAATGCTGTGAGCTATGATGGACTTCTGGCATCACATATTATTTTTGCTCTTGTTCAGTCTTTTCAATCATTGTACCATGTGTAAAATCATCTAATTAATGTTGGGAAGACATATCAAAACTTTCAAGATTGTCAATTTAATCTTTCCACTAAAACATTCACTTAGCACAACTACCCTCATGCATCACAAATCCTTTAAATCTTTTATTAGTGCTATCACGTGATGAACAAGCAAGAAATGCAAATTTGCAAATGCAACCTTATCATTCTGTATTCTGCACTTATTCTAATTTTCCACATTTTGCTCCCTTTCATCTTGTGGTTACTATAGGTGATAATGTTGTCTGTCCTTAGCAGTTGTCTAGCAATGAATGTTAATCTGTCAGGCTTTATATCATTGGTTCCAAAGCATATTTTGTTTGCATTGCCCTCATGGCATCCAAGCTAAAGTAGCATTATAGTATGCAGCTGATGTGGTTAGCTTGGTTAAAATAAAATATAAAAACATGAAAGCTTTTTTGTGGGGGGGGGGACAGTGTTGCCATTGCTCACTTTGAAATTGTTGAGTTTCTTAATCAAAAATTCATTAAATTTTTACAAAATTTGAACTACACAGTAAAACAAATTCAAAATTCATGCTTCCAGCTGTCCATATTCCGGTGGAAGACTGCATTATGCAAAATTTGATGGCTCTAGGTACATTTTTCACAATGCGAAAAACTTGTATGCATTCATGCCAATTCTTCATTATTTAATTTCTTTAAATCTAATACAGTATAATATTTTGTAGCAACAATATGAAAAATGATTTAGGTTTTTATAGTCATTCAATGCGAAATCTCATTTTGAGATTAATATCTCTTCTGAGCTAATGAAATGCATATTTCAAATTCAGAAACAATTTATATAAAATATCTTGAATAACATATTATTGAATCACAATTAACGCGAATGGTGAGCCTTTTTTTTCATTGTTCATTTTTTGAAATTTTTTATCCAAACTGGGCATAATCATCTTGCGTCCTGCTTTGCACTGATTTTTCACATAACAATATACTTCTTACTATAGTGATCACACAAAAACTTAGCTTTGCTCATATGCAGCATTGCATAATGCTTTTTCATTATTTAATTTTATCTAGAAGTCAGGTAATTCTCTGTATCAAATTTTGTCTTCAGTCTGTAGTCACAAGACAGTTTAACTATATTTCTACCAATGAAAGTAAATTCAAATGGAACTTTGAAAATCTTTTAAGCCATATTATCATGTTTACATTATATCCTTGAAAGCAATTTAAAATCCAGTTGATGTAGATGCTTTTCATGAAGAGTGGTTTGTATAGTGTGTGCTAGATATTGTTGCTATTATATTATAGAACCCAATATATCAATAGTCTGATTTTAAAACCACACACCTTTATGTGGTTTTAGAATATGGAATATGATATAGAAGTATTAGAACAGGGATGTCAAACTCATAGGTACACTTGGGCCAAACAAACAAGGTTTAACTTTAGGCGGCCCGCGCAAAAAAAAAAAAAAAAAAAAAAAAAAAAAAAATTCATAGAAATGTAGATTTATTTCGAATAATACAATAATAAACATATATATATATATTTATATAGAAAAGAACAAGAAAAATTTAATGTTTACGTCCTAATACTTGACATCTCTTCTCTGCTATTATCTTTCCTATTTCGGGAGAAATTTTGTTTGCAGTGATAACTTTCAACGCTGACCCAAGGTGAGCATCATTAATACGGTTTCTAATAGGAGACTTATTACTTTTCATGACTGAAAATAACTGCTCGCACCGATAAGTGCTACCAAACATGGAAATAATTTCATATGCGAATTTTCGAGTATTTTCAAACCTGGCTGGTAAATATTTGTAAAATTCAGGCATGCCCACTTCAATGAATTTTGCTTTCAAATTTGAGTTGCATTGAATCTCGATCACCTTCATTTGCATATGGCTGGGTACTGAGTGAATACTTATTGAGAAAATCGAAGAAAACAAAAAAAAAAAAAAAAAAAAAAAATTGTCTTCGAGGGAACTAAAATCATATAACCTCGGTTCAAATTCAGTTGTTAAATTTGCAATTTTTTCTGCGTATTTTTGATACGAACAAGTATCATCTAAACTTGATTTGTTCATGCTGCACGTCGGGAAATGCGTCAGAATCTTCATTTTTAAGTTGTTTTTCCCAAAGAACTAGTTGACATTTGAATGCTTTAATTTATGTCAAACATGTTCGTAATGATATGATCTTCTCCTTGTAACGATAAATTTAAATCGGTTAAGTGTCTTTGTTATATCAACCAAGAAAGATAAATCTTGTATCCGATATTGGATCGTAAAACAAACTTACGTCTTGATTTTTCGTTTTTAAAAACTGGACATATTTCTTCTTTCAAATCCTGGAGAATTTTTTGAGAATCTTGGAGCAAGATAACCAACATACCTCGGTATAGTAGGACAAACCCGAATATTCACTATCTAACTCACTTAAAAAAGCAGTGAATTGATGCTGATTTAAACCTCGAGATCTTATAAAATTTATAACTTTTTTTTATATGACAAAACATTCTCCATATTTATTACTTTCGTGCATAGAACTTCTTGATGTATAATACAATGCATGTGATGAATGTTTGAACCGTGAATTTCACTAAGTTTTTTTCTTAGTACTGCTACGAAGCCCTTGTTTTTCCCGGTCATTGATGGAGCGCCATCTGTAGCTGCAGAATTTAATTTTGCCAAAGGTAGATTGTATTTCTGCAGAAGTCCAAAAACACAAGTAAATATATCTTCTCCTGTGGTAGTACCAGGCATCAGTATTAGTTCCAGTAATTCCTCAAAAATGTTAAAATTCTTGTCACAAGAACGAAGAAACACTGCTAATTGAGCTTTGCCACTAATGTCCATGCTCTTGTCACAGGCAATGGAGAAACTTTCGAAACTAGATGATTTTGCTTTGATCTGATCACTTAAATTCGCGGCTAAATCAGTAACTCTTTCCGCAACTGTATTTCGAGACAATGAAATTGATTGAAAAGCCTTCACATTTCCAGGACAAACAATTTCTCCAGCTTTCATTAGGCATTTCTTGATGAAATCATCGTCAGTAAAAGGCTTCGAATGTTTAGCTATCAACTCGAATAAGACGTAGCTTGCCTGTACCGCCGCTTCACTTTCTTGCAATACTTTACTAAACATGGACTGTTATTAGTATTATTACATATCAAGCAGATTATTTTATCTTTTATTTCACAGCAAAAGTATTCTAATTCCCATTTTACTTGGAATATTCTATGTTCGTCAGCGATTTTTCATTTAATTTTACTACCACTTGGTTTTGATATAGACATACTGAATACAAAGGGCTGGAATAAACGCGGTTGACGTTAAAAAAGTTAACAAAAATTTATTCTTTCCACAAGAGATAAATCAAAATGCTGAAATATTTCTTCAAAAATATTCTAACAATATCGCAAAATGTCAAACGTTTAGCAAAATTCAATTCAAAACAGAGAAACTAATTCTATCTGACAGCGAAATCGCTACAAATCAATCACAGCATTAAGTAAACAAACAGTTCGCTAGAACTACAGCTACTACTGAGATGAGTTGTTTGTTCTCGGCTTTTATAAGCTTTATAATTAATTTCTCGAATATACTGGAAACATCTATAAATATCTGGATTTTTGTGGATGGCAACAGCAATTACGAGATATTTATTTATTAGGTATTAAATGCAGGAGCTGTTCTATTTTTAACCTTCAAACGCAGTTGTCTTTTCAAAAGTCGTCTGCGTTGCTAAGGCAACATGAAGCAAATCTAATTACAATTCGAAATAAAAAAAAACTAAATAAATAAATAACTATGAAATCCGTAACAATATGAATTAAGTAATAATTAATAATAAAGCAAAGTGCATGCACATGCATGCACCAATATATCGTACAAAACTATGATTGGAAAACTGAGACCATGAGTTCGGCCACATTCGGCTATCGGGGGATGCGTGCAAGTTCTGAGTGCACGTGTCCCCCAAAAGCCGAAGGTAGCTGAACGCAAGCTACTCACACGCATTTGTAATTTAAGTAGTGTGTGTGTCAGCTCGCTGTGAGTAATCTAGCAACACTGAATAAATTATTGTTAATTACTTAGCAGTAAACATTTAATTTTTTTCTTCGTCGATATGTTATTTTATTATTATATATTATTATTTGCCGATATATTGGCCGGGCCGCAAAAATATTTGTTGTGGGCCGCGAGTTTGACATCCTTGTATTAGAATCTAGGTTATGAGGAAGTATTAGAATCTACATTATATAATATGGTGGTATTGAATTCATATATCATTTCTATTTGTAAATATAATTTTTGTCAATATATTACACATACAGTTTTTAAATCTTTGCTTTATACTTTTTAATCATTTCATTTTCCTTTTATTTACATCTTGGATTATCCTTAATATGTTATGAAGTGAACTGTATATATTAGAACTAATTTCCATTGATATCTCACATTTATCTACTTTATATATATATACAGTCAAAAGTCGTTAATTCGGACACCCATAATTCGGAATGATCTATAATCCGGACATCAAAACTAAAAACTTTCTGCGCATGCGCCGCGTTGACACATGCGCAGAGGCGTTCACGCGTGCGCGTAAGACCTTTTACGACTGCGCATATGAGTGTGCGCAAGTGCAGAATACGTTTTTGCGCACGCATTTTATGTATAATGGATGTATAAGCTAAATAATTATCTATTTCAGTTAATGTTGATGATTGCGTTGTTCCTTAATTTTCGAATTGCATCCGGCTTATTATTTTTTGCAGGACTGTAAGAGCAATTTTTATAAAAGTAAGCTTAAACTTTCGATTATATCAAATAGAATTTCCGATATATATTTGCTTAATATGTAAAGGATCTAAAGCGAAAGTATGTTTCGAAATCCGAAATCTGTTTATCAATTTCACGCAGCTTCGGCGGCGGGGAATGCCTCGGCGCACAATGATTTGGAAGTTGATCTTGTCAGCACTATCCTTATCTTCAGCGGCAGATGTTTTTATTTTATTTGGCTTATAATTCCTTAACCAAATGTAGTATTTCATCTCGATATGCACTTCCGTCTTTGATATGATTTAAAACAAGTTCCTCGTCATTATAATTCGCTTCCGATAGTCGAAGAAAAGTGAACAGAGGTTATTGAAAACAAAAAAATTTCGATTGACAAATTAGTCGGTGTTCTTGACACAGCAATTATAGGACTTGAACGGCGGAACTTTGTAACTGAACAAGAAATTATGTCTGTTTAATAGAATTAAAGAGAAAGTATCATCACATGAAACGAAGCAAAACTTAAACAACTTACATTGAAAGAAATGTTTAATAAAGTAAACAAATAAATATTAAGCTTTTTCTTTTTGCAAATTTTGATACCCTTTAGATCATAATTGTTCTTTATTTCATAAATTACGGTTTCATATTTTTAATTTTAGAATTTCTGCATGCCATCTTACGAGATTTAAACTGATGATCTATAATCCGGAAAAATCGAGAATCCGGAATCGCCGAAGTCCTGACGAGTCCGGATTAACGACTTTTGACTGTGTATATATATATATATCTATATATATATATATTATTTAAATGTTAAATATAATGATGTACTTTAAAATTTTGACTAATGTTGATGCTTGTACATAATTTGAATGGTTGTGATACAAAACTATGTTGTTAACATTCAGTTATACTTTCAGTTTGTAATATGCATATTATATCTTTAACTTAGTATTTATTATTTTGCTTCAAGCTATTCATCATTCCCTTCATTTTTCAAATGTAAATATTACTGGATCCTTTAAGTATATGCTTAAGAAAAAATTTTTGCTGCATATTCTCTAGGAAAGGAAACTTTGATTTTTCTGATATCTATTATTGTTTTTGTCTTTTATTATTATTTATGTAATTAATTGCGCAGGATTTTTATAATGACTTCTTATTAAACAATTTTAGAGCTTGTTTGAAAAGGTTGCCCAAAATACTGTGCTTCAACATGATGCGCTATACATTCAGCTTTGTGACTAATACAAAAGAAAAAGTGAATACTCATTTTTCATTTCCTATGCAACTGGATATGTCAAATTACATGGAAAAAAATTTGATACCAAAGCAACATATAGGTAAAGTGTTTTTTAATATTTCTTTTAATTAAAGTAATTGGAATATTTTTTCCTTTAAATTAATCTTTTAATGTAACACATAATTTCAGGTTGTCGTTGTATGCTACTGTAGAAGTGCATGGTTGTTAAGAATAATGTGATTTTGTTTTAACAGCATTATAATAATCATCCATTTTTATTTGAATAGCACTTCTAAGTAGATCCTTCTCTTGAATACTTTTTATTAGAGGTGGGACAAATCCTAATTTTGCCAAAATCCAAATTCTAAATAATTCTTAAATCTTTTGAATCCTTCATATGAAAATATTAACAAAGAAAAGAGGTCTTTGATTTAATATCAGAATTAAAGCAATTTCAAATTTACAGGTAATTTGAAATAAATATTAAAATTCACATGTCAAGAAAATATAAATTAAATTTGGTAAATGAAACCTAAAAGAAATTCTTGAATTGAATATTTAACACTGCATTCTTTTCAGAAAATTAACACTTTACTGACCGATTGCCTATTAATCAACTTGTTATTGCCAACGCCTACTGACTGATAGCCTATTTATCGGCAATGCCTATTGAACGCTCGCCTATTAATCAGCTTTTTTTGCCAATGCCTACTGACCGATAGCTTATTAATCGCTTTTTTCTTGGGACTGCCTAAAAATAGCCTATCAATATGTAGCCATAGCCATAAACAGTTGCCATTTGCTATATCATCTGCATTTTATTATTAGTATTTGAGGTACCTTACTGACTTGCATTAAGTGTGTTGCTTTGTAAACTCCCACATTTTCACACCGTTTTTAAAAAATTTACCATTCACAATGAGCAAAAAAAATGGTACTGGAGAGTTTTATTTAGATGATTTATGAGATTGTCCTTATAGTAATTCAAAACAGGGAGAATCTGCGTCTGAGCAGCCGGTTGGACGTGCATATGCTGTTGAACCGCTAGCGGTCGGTAAAGTATTAAGAGTATGATGCTGAACGCTGCCATGAGATACTATTTATAATCCAAGACCACTAGAATTGCAACAGTTGCATTTTTCTTATATAATTAATGTTTCAGTTGAATGTTAATGAAATTAATCTTTCAAAGACTTTGGGTTAATTTTAGCAATGTGTTATGTTGGATAGTGTAGAGATTCAAATTTATGAATCTCAATTTTTTCCAATTAGTTGTCTAAAATCCGAATCTAGAAAATCTATTCTATTTTTATATTTAAAATCTAAAATCAGTTTGCTCCTATAATCTTCTTCTTTATGTCTGTAACCACACTTTTGTAGTTACCTAAGGTTATTGGGTACTTACGTATTAACGCAACCAGGCCAAAATTCGCTTAAATCGCCAAATCCGGCGACCCTACTTACGGCAACCTTATGTTAATTTATTAAAGCGAGGTGTGCGTAGTTCGTAGATTCGTTCGTTGCCTACATTGTGCCATTCGTAGATGTTTTTTTAAGTTAAAGCATGTCGCTGTGTACATGGATTCTTGTCTATATTTCGAACTTTAAGCCTAAAATGTCTCCAAAAACATGGTTTTCGCACATGCAAAAACTACGTTTTGAACACGCGATTTAAGCTAAAAATCCGAAACAAAAACAAAAAATTTAGATAGCAAAAACGTAAAGTTTCTAACCAAAAATATTTGACAAGAATCTATGTACACAACAACATGTTTTAACTTAAAAAAACATCTACGAATGGCACAATGTAGGCAACGAACGAATCTACGAACTACGCACACCTCGCTTTAATAAATTAACATAAGGTTGCCGTAAGTAGGGTAAACAAAATAATATTAAAAACTGTATTAAAAATTATCTGTAATTAATAAATGTACATTTTCTTTCTATTCATACTTTTTTACTCAAACTTACAAATCGCGCCAACCTGGTTGCGATAATACGTAAGTACCGGTTATGGAATATCATTTAAAAGTTAAATGAAGCTCTACATCAGCAGTTCTCAAACTTTTGACTAACACGTATCATCTAAACAAAAATTTTAAAATTTAAGTACCACAAAGTATATTTTTAAGAGTTAAATGAAGCTCTACATCAGCAGTTCTCAAACTTTTGACTAACCCGTATCATCTAAACAAAAATTTTAAAATTTAAGTACCACCAAGTATATTTTTAAGAGTTAAATGAAGCTCTACATCAGCAGTTCTCAAACTTTTGACTAACACGTATCATCTAAACAAAAATTTTAAAATTTAAGTACCACCAAGTATATTTTACAATGATTATTTTTAAATTTCTCAATAGAGATATTTTTAAAAAAGTATATTTTGCCATTTGAACAACCTAATGGCTATTTGTATTAAATATGCACACATAAAAATATTAGATTAAGAATTGGTTACCATTTTAATTAACAAAATTTAAGTTATAATATTTTAATTCTAAAATTTAGTTTGAAATTTGGGACTATTTAAAAGAGAACAATTTCTTTATGTCTGGTCTTATTTCACTTAGTTTTTACTGTAAATTAGAATCCACTTTTAATTTTGTTCTTTATTTATTTTTCAAATATATCATGGAAAAAAATTCTTGTTCACACAAATAGGTTGTACAAAAAGGCAATAAAAATGTAATAGCTTTATTTGAAATGCCTTTAAATTCTTTTTTCCGGTTCAGCCAAAAGTTAACAAGTGTTATTTTTTAAATCTTCAGTTAGAGTTTAATCGCAGGAAGTTTCTAGCAATTGTTCTTTTTCTTCACGAGATTTTTTTATTTAATAGTAAAAATACTTTGTTTATTTTTGTACCACCTGTTTTGCTTTTTCATACTATCAGTGGTACATATACCACCGACTGAGAATCCCTGCTCTACATTTTAAATTTAGGCTGGTCTTCTGTCTTTATGAAGGAAATTGGACTTAGTTTTTATTTTATTCTTAAAATTGTTTTTCTTCATTCAAAGAAAGACGTGCATTCACTCATTCTTGTCAAAAAATACAAACAAATATTTGGAATGTCTTCAAATTGAGAATTAAATATATATATATATATTGAGAGATATACATGAAGGAAATTTTCAAATGTATAATAATCACCACCAAGAGTGTATTATCTATTGAGTGTCTTACAAATTACCACATTGACAAATAGTCATGTATCATATCACCTTTGCTACTGTTAAGAAACATTCCAGAAATAATGACTAACCTTTTTTGTTTCTCCCTTAAACAGCCACTTGAGGAAAAAGGAATATTGTTTATGATATTTTATTTTTAAACAATGTGAAGCAGAAATAATCAAAAATTGAATCTAATATTTTTCATCTTAATAAAATAATTCTTTCAAAAATATTTTAAGCGTATTTTTTATTTGTATTAAAAGTACAAGCTATAGACAAAATATTTTCATTATAGATAATGAAGATGCTGGGGGTGCTGATGCCGAGGATGAATGTTATGAATATGAGCTTATTGGAGTTACAGTTCATACTGGAAATGCTGAAGGGGGCCACTATTATAGTTTTATAAGAGAGCGAAATCTTCCTGGAAAAGACAAATGGTAATTTTTTTCTGGAATGAATTCTGTAAAATCTGAAAATTTTCTAAAATATGCGCATATTAATGTAATTTAACTGTTAGAGTAATGAAATTATAAAATGATATGTCTGTGAATCATGCAAGCTTGCAGTTCTTCATTTATTTATTTCTCTTATGCAAGTTATGTTATTCTGTTATGCAGGTTCATTTATTTCTGTTATATAAGTTATGTAATCATGCACATTTTGTTACTTCTAAAAAAATTTCTCTCAAATTTTAAATTGTTTTAAGTTTACTTATATATTTTTTTTTTTTTTTTTTTTTTTTTACATATTTTAGGTTCCTATTTAATGATTCAGAGGTTAAGCCTTTTGACCCATCCCATATTGCAGCTGAATGTTTTGGTGGTGAAACAACGGTATTTCCTACCTTGTTTTTCTTGAAATATTTTTATAGCTATGAATAAAGATTGTTTTCTTTCATAAAGTTTACATATATTGTACTGAAAAATAAACTTATTTGTTTTCTGTTGCAGAGCAAAACTTATGATTCTGTAACAGACAAATTTATGGATTTTTCATTCGAAAAAGTGAGAATTGCATCTTCACATTCATCTTTTAAATATGCTTGTATCTTTATTGACTTTTCAGTAGACACAGAGAAATTATTGCTCTTCATATCTTATAATTCTTTTATTGTCTGTAAATATGAAAAATTTCTGTTTAAACTGCAGCCATTTACAAAACTTCAGACTGTTGTGTTTAGTGTATAATATTCACTATGAATTTTTTTATATAGAATGCATGTACATTGCTTATAATATTACTGTTTTACTCATTAGATAAATTTTAATGTTCCTTAGAATCCATCTTGAGGTTAGAAAGTCTGGTGTGATTATAAGTATTTCTAGCCAGAATTAGTAAACTAATTATTCCTTCTAATATGTTAATTTTTATTCTATGTATTACTCATTCACTGTAATTAAAAGAGATATTTAAAGCCTAATGATGAAGTTGCAATGAATTAATTTTATCATTAAATTAATGCTTTATCTCGACTTGAGTAATCCAAATAAACACATCCAGCCTGTGAGTGTTAACTTATATTTGGGTTTTAGTTCTTGCTGCCACTGGTTTTCTTGAATGCTGGTTAAACAATTAAAACCTTTTTATGTAAAAAAAAAAAAAAACTATTTAGTGCATGTACTTTTGTTTAGTATACATGTGTAGGAAATTTATTTAGTATACATGCATAGTATTGTGTGGTTTGAAATCATAATTAACTGAATTAGTGATTTATTCCCCCCTTCTCTGTATGAGTAGTTGAGAAACCAGCAGCTCTACAAACCAAATCCCCTTTCTTCTTCGTCTGATCAAAAATTAAATTTGGTGCCATCAAAAACTTAATTCTACTGTGATAATAGTAAAATATAATTTAACAATAAAATTCATTTTTATATATCTGTAATCCAAAGTTGCACATAGGAATTGAAACTTGTGTCAGTAAAATCCTAAAAAAAAAAAATAGTCAATATCGATAGTAGACTAAGTTCAAAAGTGTGAGTAAGGCTGTAATGCTCTTGCATTACTTTTTTTTTTTTTTATCTGGTAAACTCCTGTGAACCTAGATGATATTATTAACACATTGACGATGGCGTGTACCACTGGTGGCTGACATGCGAATGGTTTATCTGGCGGCGTGTACCACCAGTGGCTCGCACGCGAATGTTTCATCTGGTGGCGTGTACCACCAGTGTTCCAAATCAGCTATAGTGTTATAACACAGTTTTGTTAGATGAAAAAACCTTCATTTGATTAAAAGTAATTTTTTTATTGAAAAATTGAAAAGTTTATTTCTACAGGTAGACTATAATAGACTTAGTGTATTTACATACACTGGTTATCATAAATTAAGGAAAAATCACAAAAATAGCGATAACTCCCTAAAAAATAAGCCAAACCATGTAAAATTTGAATATCTTGCCAAGTAAGAGTAGCCGAGTAAAACTGCAATATGCAAATTAGTGGCACTGCACTCGGAATACGTCATCTGCGAGGAGCATAAAAGTCCATGTTTGAGAGCAAGCCCACATAATTTCACTGTGATAGTGACATCAGAAATCTGAGATACCAATTGTTACAATGACTCCAGGCATCATTTGCTGCAGAACTACGATGAAGAGCCATTGGGAGAATAGAGGCAGAACAAAGTCAAACAGAATTGGCCAGATGGCTAAATGTGAGTACTTCTGTGGTTCATAGACTTTGGAGGCAATTTTAAGCCACAGATTCGATATCTAGGAGGTTCAGCCAAGGACGGCCAACACCTACGACGAGCGTCGATGACCGATATTTGACATTATGTGTCTGCAGCACGAATAGAACCGCTACTCGGACCCTTCTTAGATCCTCCTTTGCTGCAGCCACTGGAAAGTTGGTGTCAATGTCAACTATGCGTAGAAGGCTTCATGAAGGTGGTCTGTATGGCGAGATGACTAGTCGTTTGCGTGCCTGCTCACCATCACACCATAGGAGGGACCATTTGCAGTGGGCACGACAACATGTTCACTGAACACCTGATCATTGAAGTTCTGTTCTCTTTACGGATGAGTCCAGGTTTAGTCAAGAAAGCAATAGTAAGCGTTATTTGATATGAAGAGAATCTGGAACCCGTTATCATCCGTCAAACATCCGTGAAAGAGATGCATACGGAAGAGGCAGTGCCTGTGTTTGGGGTGGCCTCTCTTTGACTGGACACACAGACCTCCATGTCATTGCAAGGGAAACCGTGAATGCTCAAGTTTACAGAGATGACATGCTTGATGTTTATGTGTGCCCATATGCCGGGGCAATAGGGGATGCTTTCCTCTTACAGGACGACAATACAAGACCACACAGGGCTCACATCGTAGATGATTATCTTCAACAGAAAACAATTATATGCATGGAGTGGCCAGCTCGATCCCCGAACTTGAATTCTATCAAGGAATGCATTAGAGAGACGTCTAGCTGCTCTCAGTCCGCCCCCTCAGACCCTTGCCGCTCTTGCAACAGCTTTGCAAGAGCAATGGCTCTCGTTTCCTATGGAACTGATAGACCGCGTAATTGAAAGCATCACACATCGCTGAATATGCTGTATTGCTTCTAGAGGTGGTTATATTCCATATTGAAGGTACTTTTACTATAGCAAACTGACATCTTCGATTTGTTCATTTTATACATGTGCTAATTTCTATGCTACCATATTTGTCTGGTAATTTCTTTTTATGTTATTTGATACCTTACTATTAGTTGTATATTGTGGGTAAGTTTCATTAAATTCTACATGTAACTTTTTCAGTAATCGTGATTTTTGTGATTTTGCCTTAATTTATAATAACCAGTGTATTTATTATTATTATCATTATTAAAAAAAACATTTTAGACATAGTGGTGGTTTACATTGGTTTTTATGCACTTCTGTAATCAATTATTTATTATCATTCTGAAGTAAAAGCAAATTAAAACAACTCTCATAGCCATCCAACTGGGATAATGGTTAGCGACGTTGACTGCCATGTCGAAGGGTCCGGCTTCGAATCCCTGGAGAAGGCATGGAGGTTTGTAAATATATAGTGTCTGTACAGCATGGGGCATTCTAATTATGCGGTGAGCTGCAAAGTCCTCTCAAGAAGTTTGTGGTAGAGGAAGAGAGGTGGAAGACCCTTAGACACCACCCTCCTCTTGCATTGCTCTTCTTCAAAATTGTGGAGAGAATTGAGAAGTCATACTGTCACCTATATGGTGCTCAAGGCTCTTGCTAGCAACAAACACAATCTTGGCTCCTTACCACAATGAATTCCATGGGCTTGCTCTGATATCAGAGACCTTATCTGATATTACTGTCAATCAGTTGGGATAAGCCACAAACAAACATATTTATTATAAAATATTAAAAATGTGTTTTCAATTTAATCTTATTCCTTAGCCACAAAGATGTAACGAACTGCTATATCATAATTCTTTCCTGAATAACTAATTCAATGTATTTTTCATTAAGTATATGTTTTATTATTTTAATACCAAAATATGTATTATTTTAATATCAACAGTTTGAAGTTTATATAACGTGGTGATATAAAGAAAGAATAGTATAAAGATATTAAGAAAGAATGTAACGTAGAGATATGAAGAAAGAATAGATTGCTACTCTTTCTACGAAAACTAGATTGTCAACATTTCTAAATAAAATTTGTGGTCTTATTCACTATAGTTTTTGTATTATAAACTGAAGTGATTTTTTTTTATTATTATAAGAAAATAGTTATAATGTATAACTATTAAACATTTTAATGAAATTTTTCATTAAAGAGTTTTATCAATGTATGAATATATATAAACCATGTGCATCAATGTGAAGCTGCTTTTATTTTGAAATACATAGTGGTTAATGATATGGAATGTTTTTAACAAATTGCCAGAAACAATAAGTTAATTGAAGCATATTATGATATCTCTTAACAGTAGCAATTTTCTCATTAAGTTGTAGAAAATACTTGTTAAAAAAGACACTAATGAACATTTTAGTTATATGCACATTCCAGACAGATTATTGACATAAATTTCTACCAGACTATTCCTCAGTACTTGTATTATCTTCAAGCAGTGTTTATAGCTTTTACACATGTATGTATATGTGTAGTGAGCTCATATATTTTATTTTTGATTTGTCTTTGCAGACAAATAGTGCATATATGCTTTTCTATGAGAAAATAAATCCCAAGGATGTAAGTGCTAACTCTCTTCAAGCTGCAGATCCTACTGCCTGCACAGACAGTACACATGATGAATTACAAATAGGATTATCATCAGAGTTAGCTGAAGTAAGTGCAAAATATATTTGCAAAAAAAGTATGGGATAATACAGTACAAAGTCCAAAATCCGGACGTCCATTATCTGGAATGATCTCAAAGCCACAAAAAAATTTTTTTATTAATGCTTTACGCATCCGCATTTGATTTTTCCTTCCATAATAAAACCTGTGGAGATTTTCACTTGAAAATTCCGATTCTTAATTTCACTTAGGCACTGAATAAAATACTTGTAATGGAAAAAAAATCATGTAAGCATAAATTTGTGAGATTATAATTTGGCTGAGTATCTGGCATACATCCCAAACTGAAACATTCACCTGTTTTATGTCCCTGACGCCAACCTGGCGAGTCATTATTTATTATATTTTGCTTTCATCAGCACATGTTTATTACAGTCAAAAGTCTTTAATTCGGACACCCATAATCCGGAATGATCTATAATCCAGACCTCAACGGACGGTATAAGCTAATCTAAAGTTATCTAATTCAGTTAATGTTGCAGATTGCATTGTTCCTGAATCTTCGAATTGGATCTGGCTTATTATATTTTGCAGACTGTTAGAGCAATTTTATGAAAGTAAGCTTGAACTTTCGATTATCTCAAATAGAATATCCGATATATATTTACTAATATGTAAAGGATCTACAAAGCAAAAGTATATTTAGAAGTACATTAAACAAAAAGTGGAATTGCTGCAAAAAATGGATAAAGGCATATCCTTCGTTTCTCAAACCATTCCGAAATCTGTTTATCAATTTCATGCTGCTCTGCGGCCCGGGGGGGGGGGACGCCACGGCACGCAATGAATTGGAAGTTAATCTGTCAGCACTATCCTTATCTTCAGGGCAGATGTTTTTATTTTATTTGGCTTATAATTCCTTACATGTAGTATTTCATCTCGATGTACTCCTTCTTTGATATGATTTAAATCAAATTCCTGTCATTATAATTCGCTTCCGATAAAGAAGAAAGTGATACAGAGGTTATTGAAAACGAAAAAATTTCAATTGACAAATTAGTCGGTATTCTCGACATGGCAATTATAGGACTTTAACAGCGGAACTTTGTAACTGAAGAAGAAATTATGTGTGTTTATAGAATTAAAAAGAAAGTATTATCACATAAAACGAAGCAACTTAAACAACTTGCATTGAAAGAAATGTTTAATAAAGTAAACAAATAAATATTAAGCTTTTTTTTTTTGTAAATTTTGATACATTTAGATCATAATTGTTCTTTATTTCAGAAATTACGGTTTCATATTTTTAATTTTATAATTTCTGCATGCCATCTTACCAGATTTAAACTGATGATCTATAATCCGGAAAAATCGATAATCCGGAATTGCCGAAGTCCCGACGAGTCCGGATTAACGACTTTTGACTGTAATACATGACAGCCTCAGTAATAACTCGTGCAGTGATGTCTAAACTTTTTTTCATATTAGTAGTTGAATAACAAGAGCATGGCAACCTTTTATGCTAACATTACACTTAGTGATGATTATAGAATTTTAAATGCTCTAAGAAATGTTGATGAGTAAAACTTCAACAAAAATTTCTTTTCATATGCTAAAAATAGATTTTGTTAATGAAACTCATAGGCCAAAATATTACATTTAGTGCTATTTTAATTCAGAATAACTGATATATTATTCACCATAAACCCAGATACGGCGGCAGAATTTAGGGAAGACTAAATTTTTGGAATTTAGGGGAAGCACCGATCACAAAATTAAGGGATGAGAAGTTTTTATGATTTAAGGAAAGCACTGTTATCTAAAGTTTAGGCACGGTGAAAATTTAGAACTTAGGAAAGCACTTTGTAGCAGAATTTAGGACCCGTAGAGACTGCACCAGGCGGTATTGAGCGCCGGCCCTAGATAAAGCCTTAAGTATATGTGGGTGTTTATTTATTCAGGACTCTGATTAGTTTGAAGCATGTGCAAGAAATAAATGTAGGTATAGTAAATAACTAATGCAATTCAGGGTTAATTCAGTAAGCAGTAGGAGCAACACATAATTTAGGGAAACAACTTGGCTTTCGTCGTCAATAATGTATAACTGACGCTATTAAGCTAGGTTAAAATTATCTTTACTGATTCTAAGGGATTTCAATTAATGTATCAGAGTCCTTATCTTCTAATTTGATCCAGCTTATTATTTTTTGCAAACTGTTATTATTACGGCAATTTTATAAAAACTAAGCGTGAACTTTTGATTATGTCGAACAGAGTTTTCAATTCTGGAGTTGCCAAAGGATCTACAAAGCGAAACCATGTTTTAAGCAAAAAGTAGATTTGTTGCAAAAAATGGATAAAGGAGTATCCGTCTCAAAATTATGCGAGGAGTATGGCATTGGAAAGTCCACTGTATGTGACACAAGAAAAAAGAAAAAGGAACTTTTTGAATTTTTTGTGGAAATATCTTAAACAACTTACATTGAAAGAAATGTTTAATAAAGTAAACAAATAAATGTAAAGCTTTTTTTTTTTTTTTTTTTTTTTTTTTTTTTTGTAAATCTGATACACATTAGATCATAATTGTTCTTTATTTCATAAATTACGATTTCATATTTTTAATTGTATAATTTCTGCATGTCATCTTATTAGATTAAAATTGACAATCTATTTATCCGGCAAAATCCCAAATCCGGAATCGCCGAAGTCCCGACCAGTCCGGATTTCGGACTTTGTACTGTATATTCTTTTATTTCTGGTCTATGTATCATTATATATATATATTTTTCCTGTATTAGTTATAGCATACTGTGTGAAATATTATGATATGGTCAGAATTTAAATTCTCCATGAATTTTTTGCTTTTTTAATAACCTTAGGCATAATTCTAATCCCCTTTTTCTAAAAAAGAGTTCTTGTACTTTCATTTTTAATTATAAAATTTTTTGTAAGTTTTATATTCTGTTTTGTCATTATAAATATTTATGTGTATTTTTCTTAATATGAAAATTTCATGATCCATCCATCTTTGGCTAAAAGGAAATCGTTTAGCATAAATAAAAGTAGGATGAAACATCAAAAAACATCAGCAAATATTTTATTCTTGCCTTTGTAAACCTTCTTTTTGTCATTTGAGCTAAACAAAAAGGCCATGATTTTTCCAAGAAGTTATTAACCTGCTATGACTATCTATTGCCTACTGTTGGAACAACAGCAACAAAACTGTCTTAATATCACTAAACCATTACATTCTGAGTTTGGTGGTTGCAACATCAGAGTTTGAGTTTTGCTGTTGATATGGATTTAATGATGGACATCACAATGAATGCCAACTGTGAATTCCATCCACTGCCAGATTTTTTGCAATGATTCTTTGTAACACTGCTTTTCTAGAGGATGTGGGTAAGTGGATAAATGACATGGAGGACATGCACGTATAAATACTTGCATAAAAATCAAGCAAAATTTTTTAAAAGATGAAAACTGCGAGTTTTAAAAGGTAGGTTCTTCCTATATTATGACTTAATATAGGAATTACAGCTTACATTTTATTTTATATCCACAGTATAGAGAAGTAATAATATGTAATATTAGGCTTAGAAGACAAGTATATCCATTTAAAAAATACCTTGCCAGAAACTGAATACAATACAATGAGGAATTAGATACAATGATGTGATTATATAAATTATCTAAATGAATAAAAAATAATATAGTTGGATTTAGATTTCACCTCTCGAGGAACATCAGATATTGTATGAATCTGTTCTAATAATGTGAACTCTCTTCCAATATAACAATCTCAAATGTGCTGAATCAATGAAAGTTTTCAGGAAGTATCTTGATCAGAAACCATCATTAGTAACTGATAATGATTATCAATCATTTGAACAAAATGTTTGTTTTCCAGCATTATCCTACTGAAAAGTCAAAATCTTTGTTTCATTTAGAAAAAGGAGAGGAATTGGCTATGAAGTATCAGATGTCACTTGTATGTAACCTTGCAAAAAAAAATCAAAATATTGATAAGAATAATAATGTTAAATACTAGTGAATAGTCAAAGAAAATAATTACAATGATATCTGGATCATCTTTATAGGTTCCACTACACAGCTTACCCTTTCTGCTCAATTCTTATCAAGTGAGAGGAGTAGGTTTGCAAAGACATTCCATGAAAAGAACTGAAAATTGTAGCCCAAATTTTTGTCTCATTCAGACCATTTTTGGGAAATTGAACTCATTAGAAACATATGAAGAAATATATGAATTGATGTCTAAAGATTGGCAGCCACATTATCTGCCTAGATTTTGTGAATCAGGAATCCATTTCTTGTATAGTAGAGTCAAGACTGTCAGATATCAGATCTCAGCCAGCACAATAAATGACCCAGGAGGATGCATAAGGGAAGAAATCTTCCATCCTGTCTTTGTCAGAAACTATTAAATAAAATCTTTCAATGATTGAATATTACAGACAAACTTTCAGTCCTTGCATTGGCTCGTTCATAACACTACAACAGAAGATAGCTAACAGAAGTTATAATTGCATTCTAGGCACATGTACTGTAACCTTTATTCCAACGGATGTATCCTCATTACGATAGATGCTCATGAAACAGGCTATTAGCTAGAACTGTGCTATTAATCAGCTGGTGCTGTAACTTTATATTCTAATTTAAGCATCTGATTTAATTTAATATTAATAATGTAAGTTTTTGGTACTTTTGTTATAAGGCTATTATGAAGGGGAGAAGAGTTTTTATTGTCATCAAATTGTTGTAAAGTTTCAGTGTGAAGTGATAACTAGTTGTAGAGTTCTTGAAGTATAAAATTGTATTATGCTATATTTTATTTATTTTGTAGTGGATATGGCAAGATAATATGCAGTTTCTTCAAGATAAAAGTCTTTTTGAGCATACATACTTCAAGTAAGATAAATGTTCACTGCTCTCATGTTTTGTTCTACTTAAATAAATATATATTTAGTACTAAATTCTTTTTCCCCCTCAGTTTTATGTGGCAGATATGTAGTCATATACCTCAGACGTTGTGTGCTCATAATGACATAACTTTACTATCTGCAAAACTTGGTACATCATTTGTTTTGGAGACTTTAATACATGCAAAAGAAAAGGTAGGTTCTAAATTTTTACTCTGTGCTTTTTTTTTTTTTTTTTTTTTTTAAATTTTCAGACTTTATTGCATGGCAAATAAAAGGTAGTATAATAACTTTTCCCCCCCCCCATTTTTAAACTTCTAGTAGTCATAATCAGAGTAGCAGCAATTTGTTTGAGTATGATACAGAAAGATTGCTTTGTAAATGGATGTACTAAATATGCTAAACTGAGGATAACATCTGTTTAGCATGTTTATTGTATCCATTTAAAATGCATTCTTTCAAAGTCATATTCAAATAATTAAAAATTGTAAATGAGATATTATTAAAATGCAGCTGATAAATTTACATGTTGCCATTCGGATTATGTTATTCTTCGCAAATAATATTTGAATAGTGTTTTAAATAGTACTGAATTCTGGCTGGGAATAATATTGTTTCATTCACAAAAACATAAAGTGAATTGCATTTAGCTCAAAGTTTCCAGTTGTTTTATTATTATTAATACATATAAACTTCTAAATGTGGGCTTGCAAAATAATTGTTCATAAGTTTTTAGGGAACGGATCGTATCCTCTGAAACATGTGCAAGGTATGACAAAATGTTCGGTAAATGACATCATAGAATGTGCATGAGAGTGAAGAACTAAGTGCATGAAAGTTTCCCCTTTCATGTGCCTGAATGTGGTACATAAATAGGCATGACAAATTTCCATTAACACTCTAGTGTGCAAAGATGTAACGGGCTGTAAAATGGCCATATGAATTTTAAATTGTGTTTCAAAATTGGTAAATTTGCAAAAGAAAGTCAGGAAATGCTAAAATAGCTTTACAAAGTGTATTTTTGAATGGTTTAAATGTTTTGGAACTGGATGAAATTCCATTGAAGACACTGTTCAAAGTGGTAGGCCTACGATATTTAGCAGTGAAGAAAACATTGAAATAGTGAAGAAGATGTTAGCCAGAAAGAGAAACAATAAATGCTAACACATCTAAGGATGTTCATGCAGATTTATTGCAAAGAATCCATCATATATTTCCAAAATATTGCAGAGACGAGCTGTCGATTCCTTCTTCATGGTAATGGCCAATCACATTTGGCACTTGTCATGGAATAGTTTATGGCCTGTAGAGAAGTTGTAGCCTTTTATCATCAACCATATTCACTTAATCTTGCTGCAGCAGACTTATTTCTGTTTCCATATCAGAAATAGCTCTAAAAGAGAATGATTTTCAGGTATTCCAAAAAATCAAGCCATGTGACAAGATTTCCTCATATGATACCAAAAGAGGCTTTTTCCTTTAATTTTCAAGAACTGTACATTTGTTGTCAAAAGTTCATTGCAAATGATGGACATTACTTGGAGTAAATTCAAAGTGTTTTTCATGATTTTAAGTAAGAATCTTCTGTTTATGAATATATTCACTGAACTTTGTTGTCATACCTTGTGTAAACATATGCATTTTTCTTCAGAAATTTGTATATGATGATGTAAGCAGCTTTTTAAGATGGTATAAATATGTAAAAGTAATGGTATCTTCTCCACGTGAATTATTTAGTAATTGTTATTACATATGCTTTATAGTTGTGTTTTAAGGAGAAATTATGTATGTAAAATTTGTTCTGTTGATTTTTTCTCTAATCCTTTTGAATGCCAAATGTGTTGAAGAACATTAATGTTTGTCATTTTTTCAAAATATCTGCTCTTTTTGTAAAAAAATTAAATTTATACAAATACTTTATTTTTGTATTTTTTAGCCAACAATCGCCCAGTGGATTGAACTTTTGACCAAACAATTTAATGCTAGTCAACTTGCTTGTGAAGTAAGCTAATGATTTTACTATTTTTTTATGTTTTTGTATTTTGCAGTGTAATTTTTTACTTATATCAAATTTGAACAAGATAATGAAATGATGCTCTTTAAATTCATGTCATTTTGCATAATTTTGTTTTGAAATAGAAAGATGTATTTGCAATTATTTTTAAATATCTCTTTTTATATAACTGTCTTTAGAATATCTCATTTATTTTCATTTTGCTTATTTTTATTAAGTGGTTCCTAGACCATATGGCTGAAAACAATTGGTGGCCTGTGCAAATATTAATTAAATGTCCTAACCAAGTTGTCAGACAAGTGAGTATAAATTTTAATATTTTAGATGTACATCTTTTACTAGTTATATTTTACTAAATATAAATTTAAACAAATTTAAATTCTTAACAAATATGTATAAAAGTAAAAAAGCAAATTTAAATTCTAAAAAAAGAAAAAAGCCAAAATAATTTAAAATAATTTAGAAATATGCAAACATGTAAAAGATTTAATTCTCAAACTAATCTACAATATCATTTAAATTCAGAAGCATAAGCAAATCAAGTGCAAAATCTATCCATGAAAATAAATCTACTAATTTAATAAATTAAAATTAAATTAAACAATTTTTTTTAAAAAAATGCATATGTGAATGATCGTAGAGTAGGCAGGAGACAGACTTATCAAGGGGAAGTTGCCTCCAAACCTAACTCTCCAGTCATTCAATTCGTGTTTCGTCATTCATGCAGGCAAGGGTAAAAGTCAAAACCAAAAGTAATTCCAATAAAGTGGTACCCTTAGAATTTAACATTTAAGAATTAAAGTTCAAAAAGGAAAATACTAATTAAGTCTTTTGAGAGAAACAAGCAAGTAAAGTCAAGAATTAAACTTTTTCTTAAAAAATTAAATTTTTAAAAATTAATTTTTATAAAATAATAAAAAAATCTAGAAACCAATGTATTTTAGAAATCCTTGTCTACAGAAACTTTCCCTACACGAATATGCATATCAATAAAAATAAACTATAAAAGAACTATACATAATCCATATAAACCAATAAGAAATAATAAACAAAAAGAAACAAAAAAAACTAATTCAGTCAATTTTTAAAATAATATATATTTAAAAATATAATTTCATATTTAGAAAATACTTAGATACTACATAAAATTTTTTAAAAAAAATACTTAAGCAAGTAAATAGTAAGTTTTAATTCTAACTTACCTACTATATGAGTGTTGGGGTCTGCAAAAGTGTTGTGAAAGAGAAGTAAGTGTGTTCTTCAAATTATATAGATGGCGCTTATGTAGGTAAAGTTGAGTGTCAAGCTGCTATCTTTGTTATAGTAAAAATTTTTTGTAAATATTAATATTAATTAAATTAAATTAAAAATCCTAAAGGTAGTAATATCAATTATTTAGGGAGTTAAGTAACTGAGCCAATCAAGAGATGTATGTTTGCTTGAAGGAAATTAAAGTGAAGTGGTATGTGAAAAAAATGTAAACTGTTTGGAATTTGAAATGTGTGTTCTGTTGAAAAATTGTTAAAAAATTAAGTAAAAGATATTTTGTGTGAAAATTGCAAAAAATTAAAGTAATTAAGAAAAACTGAAATGTTTTAATATTAAAGTTTTAAAGTAAAATTTCCTAAAATTTTTTTGAAATGAAGTCCTTAAAAAACCTCTAAAAATTCCCAGAAATTTCTCAAAAATTCCTTTAGGAAGTTAAATTAAACTTAAATTTGATGAAAGAAAATATTAAAAGTTTAATGAACTTGATTTAATTGGTATATCAAAACTTAACTAAATACTGGCTAAGTATGGAAAATTAGAAGAAGAAGATTAAAATCTTCACTCAATTCGGGCTATAATTGAGACTTTTGAAAAGAGTTGGCCCTTTATTAGTAAAAGGAAAGAATCCAGTATTGATTAAATATACATATTTACAAAATATTTACAATAATTTCTCTACTCTTTTATATCCTTCATTACCCTTCAGTTAAGGTTTAAGGTAATGTTATCATATCCAAAAGAGCTAAAAAATTATGCAGTCAAAGCCTGCCTTTTTAATATATAAATTAATAAATTTTGGTGGTACTTGGTTATCAACTTGTACATTAATTAGTTTTATGATTTCTTCCTTTAAATCGTCATTTTCAGTACATATATTTTTTATTCTGATAATTTTGCTATGAAACGTATTTTCTATTACCTTTCTAGAGATATTAGAGTTCCAATTAATTAGTTTAATAGTAGAAAAATGGAAATTCCTTCTTTTATCAAATAATTTAATTTTGTTGTGTTTAATAATTTGCAGGTCTAGGAATTCAATAGTATCTTGATTCGTATTCTTTTTATTAGGTGTTAAACTATTTGGGTAAATTTTGAATTTCTCAAAAGTAGAATTATTATTGAAAGTTATAATATCATCTATGTATCTAAAAGTATGAGCAAATAACTTTAATTCATTTTTATTTAAACTGAGTTGGAATTTATATTCAAATGTAAAAAGAAATAGGTTACAAATTTGTGTAGAACTGTTTGCTCCCATAGGAATTCCTCTAACTTGCTGTACTAAATATATATACTAACTAATAAAGAAATTTTATTGTTTCAAATGTATATGTTTATTGTGCTTGAAAATTGTAACTTAATTTACTGTAGAAGAGTCTTTAATGTTTCATCTACTTATATCAAAATTGCTTAAGTTCTTTAATATTTGCAGTGCAATGAAATACATAACTGTAATTAAAATTAGGTTGCATTACAAACCATTGTGGGCCACTTTTGCTTTATGCCAACTATACATTTTTTCCTCCTTTCTTTATCTTCATAATCTTTATGGTATGTTACAACATCCCTAAAAGTAATTTTTGAAGAAAAACATGAAATTTTAAGTTTGTATAATTCCCAACATTTTGAATTCCAACAGCATTATCATATATTTACTGGGGTATTTCTTTTTTTCACATATTCTTTCTAATGGTTTTTTTGTGCATTACTTAGAAATGTTTTATTTATTTTTATAATATTTAAGCACTGAATTCAGGAAATGATTCTTTTAATAATGAGCAGCTCTTGGAATTTCTCAGATTTGTGGTTTTTATACAATGCTGTTCATTTAACTCAAAATGACCTTTCATCTCCTCCCATGAACAAAAATGGAATGTATGTAGAGTAAAAGTGACACTCTTTGGAGATTCTCCAGGAGATGTTAGCAGCTTGTCCTTAACACCAATGAAAAATTCTTTTGGTATTATTTAAGACTAGAGAATTAGAATCTCTTCTCCTGAAGAAAGCACATGTAATTGCTGTAATGCAGTGCCATCCCACTGTCTTTCTCTCTGTAATCCATCTTAAATATTAATTACATTAAGACATTGTATGACTTAAAATATGTGCTAATAATTTTTCCTTTAATTTTTTTTAAAGTTCATCATTACGTGCCTTTATCAGTAATAAAAATCTTTGCATTTAATATGCATAGCATAAAAAGAAATTTACCTTTTACCCATTTTAATATAGATGAGCAAGATTGTACATACAGTGAAGAAACAAAAAATAGTATTGAAAGAGAGTTAACGGTATTATTTATTGTATGCTTTATTCATGTAATCTTATGAATTGCATACTTTTTTTAACTTTTCCATCAGAAATGGCATACACCATGTAATTATCTGCTCATGATATTCAGGAAATAAAATTTTTGAGAAAGTAGGAATTGAATGATTAAATATGGTATATCACAGTAGTAAGCTTCTTTCGCTTCTATTACAAAGGAAATGGAATGTTGCCATCATGATATGATATGAGTGTTTTCAAATTCTGGTAATATGACATATCTTTACATGTGAGAACTATTAATTCTTGTAACCTTTTAATTTGCCTTATGTATGAAGAGATACATATTAGTAAAATTTATGTTAATAGTAGTATGATTGAAGTAGTAGTTCTGAGCTTTTGTTGCCCCACAAACCCGTTTCGTCTTTGCTAGACTATACCTTTTCCAAATGACCCCTTTTTCAAAATTCGAAAAATACATATATGTTTATTTAAATTTAAATTATTTTTAAATGTTTTATAAATTAAACAAAAAATATAGAAAATGTTGATAAATATCAAAAGTTGAATAAAAGTGGTGTTTTATATTCATAAACTAAAACTTAGCAGGAAAAGAAAAGGCTGACTGTATTCCCTAATTGAAATAATGAAATCCCCCAATGGGAAATTCCCTCGGGTTGAGAAAGAACCCTTGGATTAAAGTTATCTGAAAGTAATTATATGATAACATTGTCTGCTTGCCCCCCCCTAATAAAGAAGTAAACTGTATTGGAATGAAAAAAAGCTATCTTTCATATTTTTAAAGCAAATTTTGTATGTTATTTAATATAAAATTGTAATCACTGAAAGTATCACATAAAATATGATCATTTTTAGTATTCAGTTTCTGAAAAGTAATAAATGCCATAAAATATGCTGTATTTTTTATTTCTATAGCTCTTTCAAAGGTTATGCATCCATGTTATTAACCAATTGAAGCCTATTCATTCAACAATGTATCTGCAGCCTTTTTCTGACAGGTAGGCCCAATTTCTTAATGAGTGCAAAATTTGTGCAATATCATCAATAGAATTTTCAATTGTATTCTGTATATTACTTCTTAAAGAGTCTTAAAATTTCGTTCGTATGTGGCATACCTTGAAATATTAAGTTCAGTACAAGTAATTTGTAGTAAAGCAAATATTGTAAAATAAATCTTTATACATACTGCAGACATAATCATACTGTATTATATTTACTATAATGATTTTAATTGATAATTTTGTGTAATAAGATATAGCGTTTATTGTTAGCATACGTTTTATCTGTCGATTGAAATTTTTGAAATATTCTTATTAGTAAATTAGAGGAGTTTTTATGATGTTTCTAAATATTTTTCTCCTTGTATTCTTTCCTAATTTATTATTATTCTTAAGTGATGATTCATCTGATGGGGATATATCTCAAATTGGGCAGTATTCCTGTGTAACAAGGTTTATTAGAAAACTCTTAACTCTGGTAAGTTCAAAATATAACTTTGCCTTTTTTGTGAATAATCATAAAATAAATTTTTCAAAATTTTTTAGCAGTATGTTTCATTTTGCTGTGTAATGTTTCATGATTGTTAGAGGAATGGATAAGCAACTATCTTGAATATGTGTATGTTTATTTTTGATTTAAAATTCTTTTTCGTTATCTTAAGAAAAGGACCAGGATTGGAATTATCTATTTAAACTACAGTGTGAAAGAAATATTCATGTGCTGAAAATGTTCATAGTGTATTTATAGGGTAATTTTATTTCAAATGTGGGAAAAAATGGTTGCCTGATCACTTTCAAGATAATATTCAT